CTCCCCGACCACACAGAGGACAGATGCTCTTGTACCCTCACCTGAGCTCCAGCTGCTTGATCATTGAGGCCATCTGTGTCGTCTTCTCCTCCAGATGGCTGATGATGTCACTCTTCTGTTTCAAGGCCACATCAGAGCTCTGGGGAGAGATAAGAAGATTACCAGATTATAAATCTGTCTGACCCAATAAAAAGACACATACAGTTTGCCGTGAACTGAGATTGCTGCATGGGGCCTTTAAAATGCTTTTTCATTCACAACTCACTCTGAAACGTAAAAACAAATATTCATAGGTGACAGTTTGGCTTTGGCCTCGGACTGGCTAGCTGAACTACCTGAGTCTTCAGGGAGAGCTGCTGGTTCAGCATCCTCATGTCATCCAGCTGCTTGCGCAGAGCTGCCAGAGCATCCTGCTTCTCGCAGATGTCCTTCTCCAGCATCTTCATGGCCAGCTCCATCTCCTGCTTCATCCCAATCTGCACCTCCAGCTCGCTCTCCACATCCTTCAGCACAAAATAATGTTTTTTTTCTTTTCTTTTCGGTATCCCCTGACAATATAGTAGTTAGATAGTAAATAAGCGTGGGGGCCACCTTCAAATGCTACAGCTGTTACCAAAAACAACTGGAGGCAGGGCACCAGGGGATTGTGCAAACTCGTGGTGGCAGTCAGCATCAAAGAATCCAAAAGCAACAGTAAATGGGGGAGAATTCAAAGTACTGAATGTTAAAACTAATGAATGACATATGAATGTGTATAGCCCCCAACAGTGAGTCAGTCTTCAGCCTTTTTAAGTTCCATGTCCACCCTTGTCTTCCCGGGGCCAGTGGTAGTGGAGCAGCAGAGGATTATGGGAGATGGAGTTAGTGGGACTCCTGTGACCTCATTGTGTAAGAGGAATTACCTAATGCAGTGTCAGCAGATAAAAGCGCAGCAGAAGCTTTACTACATGAAAGCACCAGTAAATTGGAATTAGGGGGGGGAAAAAAAAAAAAAAAAAAAAAGATAAAAGGGGTGTCAATCTGTGGGTAAACTGAGCAGCAGAGACATACAGATACGAAACAGGGCACTCCTCTGTCCCACCGAGGCTGAAAAACAGGAACTAACCAGACGGAGCTGCGTTTCCTCCTTCAGCTTTTTCCACACCTCTCCTGAAACCTGGTCGTCAGCAGCCACCTCCGCTCCAGGCCCCTGAGAGCAGAGATGGGCGGAAAATACCGGCAGACAGAGCAAGTTCAACATAAACAGCCGTCTGACAGCGGACACATCCATTTATACTCGAATTGACACAAAGCCTTGACATTGTTATTTTTTACTCAAGTACTGATGTTATTATGGCACGGGTGAATATTCAAGTCAGGATCACGGCTGTGCACATAAGCATCAGAGTCAGAGACACACCTTGTGGCCGCACTCTGTCAGGAGGGCGTTCCCCTCCTGCATGTGAGAGATCTCCTCTTGCAGAGTAAGCACTCTGTTGTTGGCAACAGCAAGCTTCAAAAATGAAAGAGGCTCAGTTAAATACAAATGTTCTCCTGTAGCCCAATCAGAAGAGCACTGTGCTAACTGGGCCCAGGTCGTGGGGCTGACACCCAGGGAGCGAACGTAAACTGCACCCCTCCCCTCAAATGTAAGTCACTTTGGATAAAAGCGTCTGATTAGTGTTTCTACAATACAGGATTGTCCTGCATTGGAAAACAAACTGCTGCATCCTGTATTACACTGGACGGGGGGGGGGGGGGGGGGGTCCTGCATTGGAAAACAAACTGCTGCATCCTGTATTACACTGGAGGGGGGGGGGGGGCGACCCTACGTCTGACAGATGAGTAATATGCAGATGTTTTTTTTTCAGCAAAAATGGAGGGACGGAGGCATCGTTGCTACAGTCACATCACAGCACTGAATGGATTTTATTCAATTTAACTTTGAAGTTAGTTTTAACATGGCTGTCTGGTCCTCTAATCACGGTCCGTTGAGTTTTTACTTAAAGCAGTCTGGGGCAAAAGCCGGCCAGCAGGTCTTATTTTCACTGGCCCGTGCGATCATTACAATGGTTAAAGTCCAATAATTGCAAATGGTTTAAGTCCAATAATTGCAAATACAGCTGCCACTTCCATATTGGGATGCAAAAATGAACAGCTTCCAAAAAAGGATAAGTCTTCCATTGTGGCTTTCATGGGACGTGAAAATAATGAAAAACGGCCCTCCACAGAAAATAACAGCCCAGTCCTGACCCAGCGGCACGCCTAAAGGTTGCAACACAATTTATGCAAGTAGAGCTTGAAAACGAAGGTAATAGATTTTTAAAAATATTTTAATTCATTTAAAAACATGTAAGATAACAGCTTTTTTGTGTCTCAGTCTATGCACTTGTCTGCCAGATGCAATACCCACCTCTTTTGTCAACTTTGTATTTGATTTCTCAAGGGTATCGACTTTTATTTGCAGATTATTCACCGATGCGCTGTTGGAAGAAATGAAAAATGAATCCCACTGGAGAGTGCGTTCATAATAAAAACACTTGACGGCTGTTTAAATACAGCAATACCTCAAATGTCTATTGAGCTCCTCAACATAATTCTTCTGATCGAGTATAGCTGTAATCTGTTCCTCGCTGAAAGGTAAAAAGGGGGGAATGAATATGGAGGAAGGTAAATAGACAAAATTGAGGAACTAAGAGTCAGCAGTTGACCTACCCGTCTGGGCTCCTGCTGCTCTGCCCATCATCTTTCAGATACATGGAGAAATCGATAACCCCGACCTACAAAAGACAAAGAAAATCGTCACCCGCAGTCCTACCAGCTTTGCAGAGATATTTCCACAGAACATCACATTTCATTAGAGGTTTTCAGAATCCCAAAGTGCATGAACACACAGCGACAGACTCTTACTCTCCTCCTCTGTACGTCACGCTCTTCCTGAATGAGATATTTTGCATTCATCATCTGTGGCCCGTTTAGTTTATTAACGGCACTGACTGAATTCGAACGTGGCTTTGGCTGCTGATCGCGTTGATGCACCAACTGTGAGCTCGTTTACAGTGGATCTGCATCACCTGTGAGTCCAGGTCCTCCCCTTTCATGCAGAGGTTTGCGTCGATGACATTCAGACCCACTAACAGCCCTGCAATGACGGCTCCCTCCTCCTCCATCATCAATGCGTTTGCTTCATAGAATTCACTGAAGAAGAGACACACACGTTGGATCATGGCCAATTGGGGGGGGGGGTGAAACAGGAGTCACCTGACCTTCTTTTGTCATGGGTACCTAACATTGAGAGTTACCTCAATAGATCCTTTCGGTTGATTATGGTTTTCATGTAATCCGACAGCTTCTTCTGCATTAAGGCGAGGCGCAACCAGGCTCTACCCCGACCCAGAGGCGTTCTGCAGGGGCAAACAGAAACAGCGATTAGCATTCATAGGGCACAGCCATCAATCCTCTGGCTGGACCTTTACAGACCAGTCAAGGAACCCATCAAGACAGCTACCTCTAAATTCAGAATAAAGTCACTCGTGTAACTAAGATACGAGAGGCTCACTTGAGTCCAGGCAGCTCCTTCACACTGGCTGTAATTTCTGCGGCTTCTGGATTTAACTTCTCCACCAGCTCCAAAGGGCCCCACAAAGACTTGTTCTGTCCAAGGAAGGTCTTCTTGGCTGTCGTATAAATTGGAGACGGAATACAAATATCAGAATGTGATTATGAGTAAGATCAGTCAAACTGTATCACTGACAATGCTAATTAAACAATGTTAACACAGTACTGTGCTATTCAGGAAAATATATAAAATCTTAACTGAGCTTGCAAAACACACTGTACATTGTTATTATTAGTTTAATTAACTTTAAACACTAACCAAAGGTTACTAAAGGTCTTTCTCCACTAGCGCATTGCAGTGATTTCCTGGTTTTATTTAATTTAGTTGCTGACAAGTTTTGGTTCCCTTTGCTCTGCAATCACATATTACACTGATTCCCCAACTCAGTCTAAATTAGGTTCAGTAGTGTATTTACAAAACATTCACAGAGCTCAGTTATCATTTTGCAAGCAGATGGCTGGCAATGAGGAAGAAATACAGAATGTAATTATCTCAGAGGCTTGTCGTGTCCAGGGCAGACAGCAGCTGCGTCATATGTGTGCAGACAGGCCGGGAATCCCCAGCCAGGAGTAAAACAGAGAAAGATACATGTGGGTGAAGAATTCTTAGTCAAAGAAAATGATACTTAAATAATCTTCAAGTTGGTGTAAAACTATGATATTGTGTCTGTAAAAGTGTGTCAGCTTAGCCATTTCAAAACCTGTCCCATATATTTTTTGACTCGACCACTGGCACACCTTGTTGGGCTAATCAACACCTCACTGTGTTATTTAACTATGTTGACCAATTAGGTGAGCTGGTGGTTTTGCACAGGTCTGTACATTTTCAAAACCCAGCTTGATGAGTTCTGTAAGTTGTTGTCGTGTTCAGCTCAGCACATAAGAGCTGGTGAGTAACTCTACATCCCAGAAATCCTGCAGGCTTTCCAGATCTTCAATGCGGAGAATGAGTCGCAAACGCCACGCTTCTCCAACGCATCAGCAAACCCGGCACCACCTCTCCAGCTCCCGTACCAGACCCACCTTTCAGGCCGTGTTTCAGGCAGTGCTCCATGACGACAAAGAACTGCTGCAGAGGGGCGTAGTCGGAGTCCAGCGTTCGGCCGAAGTTCAGCGCCGACTCAATCAGACCCTTGATGCTCAGCTTGGCCATGTTCATCAGGTTGAGCCTCTCGATTGCAAAGGGGTCCTTGGGTTCTGAGGGCAAGAGGAGAGCAAGCAGCCGTGTGAATCTCCAGATGACCAAGGAGAAGGAGAAACATTTTACAGAACAGATCAGACTAGAGCGAAGACCTAGCTCAGTGAACTTTGACCTAAAAATAAAGAAGAGCACTGGGGTTACTTGAGATCGAAAGGTAAATTCCCTAAGAGCTCTTTTTACTTTAACCCTTTCAGGCTCAAATTAAGTTTTATTAACGACAGGACAACCAAGTCCTGCAGTGGTACTTCTGAGTAAAAAAAACTCATAAAATATGTATGTGGGGTAATAAGGTAGTTAGTTTTTAACTGTTGCAAATCAGCAACGCCTGCCATGAGAGGGTTAATATTATCATCAGAAGTGCACTGATCCCATTTTTCAGTGCTGCCACGATCCCGATACCTGAACAGAGGGTATCAGCCAATATGAGTACCAATCTGATACCAGAGCTCATTTTTAAAACTAGACTGCAAATGACTGTGCTACTAGTTGCTGTTAAAAGCGTAAAATACTCCCAGATTGTCATGTTCTTATGTTCCTGGTACTGCGAAGGGTATGCGTATGATGTCACAGCAGACGGAAGTCACTGCACTTACACCCACTGAGCAGCAAAAAAAAACTGAGCGGCAGCATTAAAATACGACTTAAATTCCACAAAACACACATCTAAAAGGGGAAAGAGCCGTCGTGCAAATGACTGTACAAATTGATTTAACAAGAAATAGGACCTATCTTTTTACAAACTGCCAAAAACTAAATAAGTATGGGATGTGGATCGGTGACATACAGTATGGCCGATACCCGATCTGTCTAATCGGTATGGATAGGAATCGGAATATCCGACTGGTGCACTTCTACTCACTATCACACAATACAGGCAATTTAGAACTGCCAATTAGAAGGAAAGAAAGAAGGGAAACTAGAGTACCTAATGGAAATACGCAGTTAGGACTCTGCACCTCGTGATTGGAAGGTCACTGGTTCAAACCCAGTGGCCAGTAGAGTAATCATTTCACCGTTGGGCTTAAGGACCTTACTCAAGAGCCCAACTGCTTCAGACACACAGGCCAGCGCTGCCAAGAAATAAATGTAAATACAAGGAAAAGCTGTTAACTCAACCACAAACGCTCTGTCAATAAAAATGGTCGACAGAGGCTGGAAGCTCTCAGAAAGACAGAGAAGACTTCCTCTCCCTCCTTCAGCATGCGACTCTGGGCTAGCTGTGGATGACAAAATATCAGGGCTGAAGATCAAAGGTGACTGGGTTTGGGGCAGGAAATCAAGCAACCAGTCCCCAAGAAGTATGAGGGATTAACAGAGCAGTTCTGTTCCCATGAACGGGATCAGCTCTGCATTGCTTTTATAACACTTCCATTAGATGGCCTCATTTTCGTGAATAAAATGACTAAAATAGAAAGTGAACGAAGTTAACAAAGGAACCACTAGATATCAAACACAAAATACATCATTTCAGTACTTTACTACTAGACTGCATATTTTATCCAGTGGGAGATGAATGCTTTGAATTTGTGCTGGAAACATGAAAGTGAATCTCAATATGACAGCAAGAGGTGCTGAAGCCAGGCATCAGGACATTTACTGCATGATGTAGCCATTTCATCCATTTTCTACTTTCACATCCCCCTAAAAGGTTTTAAATGTAAATAAAGGTTGTTGTAGTTCCTAAAGAGTTAAAGATTTAGACAGAAACCTTCCCTATAAGCATACAGAAATCGTTTAGAAATAGTTTCAACTTCCTCTCTTGTGTGGCTGTTTTCAATAAAAACATCAAGTACATATTGAAATCATGCTGTAGTAACACACTCCGAATGTGTGTTTTTGGGCTAATTGTACTAATATGTATTCTTCCTCCATAAAATACCAGGATTAATATTTTTAAGCAGTTGCTAAATTATTTTGTAACTGAATTGTAATTTAAAAAGTTCTCCAGACCCTGAGATCCCAAAGTTAAAGAAATTAGTCTGTCTGCCATGTCAGTGTACTGTCACAGCATAGCATGAGGCAGTAAGAGACTGAACTTCAACAGCTGTAACAAACATACTTTAACACAGGTTACTCACAGACTGTCAGTGACCACAGACACGGATTGTCACAGTGACAGCGGATAGACATTGTCACAGTAATCTCAGATACAGACTGTGATAGTGACTGCAAGCACAGACTGTCACAGAGACCACAGAGCAGACTGTCCTAGTGATTGTGGACGCGCACTGTGACAGAGAGCACGGATATGAAATGTTACAGGGGCCTCAGACTGTCACAGTGACTGCAGGCACAGACTGTCACATTGGCTTCAGACTGTCACAGTGACCGCGACGCCGCCTCAGTCCTGCAACCCGGAGAACAGCCGGCCGAAGAACCTCGCATCTCGGGACTGGCTGACACAACAGAAACATCATTTGTGGTGGAAAATGGGACAGTCACCAACCCCAAATTTGGACAAGCCGCCCACATTACTAACGGGGTTCGACTGGCACTAACATGACTGCAAAGAATCAAGTGGTGACATGTGAGGACTTACTTTTCCGGGCAGGTTTCTGTGTGTTTGGCTCGCATTGCGGCAGTCCGGGGTGGAGCGCCGTACTCTTGGGTAACTGTACGGAGCTCGACCCCAGCGCCTCTTTAAAGAAGATGACGGAAGTAGGAGAAAGCGGCTCCTCTGGGCTGTTGGCGGACCTTCTATCGGTCCCTCCGGCCGCAGGGCCATCGGAAACCCCAGGAAGATGCAGATCCCGGTCCCGTCCTGCTGATGTTATGCCCTCTTCCGCCATCTTCAGCAGAAATACACGTGACTCCTGACGCGTCTAATCCCGAAGACAACAACATAAATTCCCCGCACTGATTTCATGGAGAAAAAAAATAAAAGAAAGCACTTTTCCCATGGCATGTGACACCGATAAGCAAAAGGATTAAGCGCATGCGAAATGCGCCGCTATAATTCTGCATCTTTCTAAAATAAACAATCACAGATCGCTAAATGAACAGGATAGACTGTAAGTGGCGCAGCACTTTGGAGGTACCCCCTCCATATGTATTAGTGGTGCTGCCAAGTGCTGACAAAACACTATACAATCTTTCTCACTATACAAGTCGTTGGCCTTATGACTTATTTTTGAATATCTCTTTTGGCTTTTATTGTATAGGCTACTTTTTGTGTTCCTTCCATTTTACGCAGTTATGCAGTAACATGACCCCAAATGCTATATATCTGTGTAGGCGGTAGAGAATTGGGGCATGAGAGTGTTGGGGGTACAGTTCCAGTTTTATGCAGGGATAGGTGGTTTGGGTGGGTCGGTGGGTTTTTTAATCAGGCACTGGCAGTCACCGCCTGGATTAGCACACTATGCCTTGGTGCTTAAACTGACACCCCCTCAGTTACGCTTATTATAATTTCATAATGGTGAATCATTTTAAGAAATACGTTCTTGAAGTTATTCTATATTTATCTAACTGTATTTACTAGAATGAAATACTAAAATACCTTACCCTGTCCCATGACCATGCAAAGGACAAGCGGGTGTGGAAAATTGATGGATGGCTGTTTATCGGAATAAAATACCAAATTCCCAATAAAACTGAAAGACCGAATAACACTGGAAAAGTATAACGCGTCGAGTATCTATACTCAGCATATAAACTGTAACTTGCTGAGCTATATCGCTTTATTATATTGGAGTATGCGATAAATGTTCATATAAATGATATCCTATATAAATAATAAGATTATCCTTTTAAAATAACAGCCAGACTTATCATATTTAAGGAACAAAATACATACATGCAGTCTGAGGATGGATATATGTCTCTAAATGGCATTGTCAGGAGGACCTATGGAAGTAACAATTCTATGGACGATATATATTATAGAGACATGATATTTCCACGTCATATCCTAGACAGTTCAATTCCAGTTATCACAATAACCGCTTACGGCAATTATGTATATTTTTTCATCAGTATGTGAGATAAACAACACCTGATTTGAGTGGCGACAGGAACTGAAACGTAACGTCCGCAAACACACACGGACATATTGCAAAGTAACACCAATCATATTTACAGCATGGCGGTCTGTATCAGGCACGTTGTGAAAGGTCAGTGCTTTTAACAGAATATTTTTTCTGCAACATTTGTTATTATCGGAGGATTATATCGAGGTGTAGAAGTAGTCAGTGTCGTCGCCTACTTTATGTGCGTGCATTCGTTATAAGTGTTTCCATCATTTGAATTGATATTATATCCCTGTGAAAACTGGTATTACTAATGAATTACGGAGTTTAGGTAATATGGGATATGCCCAGAAAATTATATAAGCTACTGCTTATCTACTACAGCAGGGATAATCAACAGATAATCAGACCTTCAGTAAGAGAACCAGCTTAACTTCAACATAGCTGACTAATACTGAGGTGCTACTGAAGTTCCTGATTATCTGTATCAGGTGTGTTAAATTAGGGCTGCAGCTAAGCTCTGCAGGGTGGTAGCTCTCCAGGAGCAGGATTGGGCACCCCTGTACTTCAGGGTCACAGTCAGATAGAGCCTATGTCAGAGAATAGAGAGTTCAGAGTGATGGGGACCATAGATGGGATGTCAGACCCTAACAGGACACTCAAGCAGTGATAATTTAGAGATGCACATGTGGAAGGAAACCCATGCAAACTCCTCCCACAATTGGTGTGTGACTGGACTCCATGGCCTGGGTAATGTGTGTTACCCACTGAGCCACCAACTGAATTTCGGGTTTGTCCTGAAAAACGCTTAACTCAACTGTGTCCCATTATTAGTGTCTCACTTTACCTACCAAGTTCCTTTATTGTTAATATACACAAACTACACTCATTTACACATTTTTTATGGCTGCTCTCATTTTTTCCATCCATAGATCATCTCTCTTCCAACCACTTATCTGTACAGCATTGAGAATATTATTTTGAAGAAGATTCCAGACTCTGTGTTCAAAGTGTAAACCAGACAAAATGCTTTTGAAAACCTAGAATGCGACTTCAGTTTTGAATCGTGCAGTACTGTATTTTTCATGCATGTTTATCTAAGTCTGAGTTAAGCCTTGCCTGCAACAGTATAAAATGGTAGCATTAACCATTATCAAGCCTTTAGTGAGTAATTAGTAGTCAGCATGAGAATGAGTGAAACATGGCTGAGGACTGAAGAAATTGAGATGAGAGGTTTGGAAGCTATGGTGCCTCCTCTCCATTCAGTTAGCAGGCACTGACAGGTAATCATTGAAAACTGGCCCACATTGGATTTAATAAGTCAGAATGTTATATTTTGATGCTAAATAATTACACACAAAAAATTCACGTCAATGTCTTTAACCCACTTGAATGAGTACCTTTCAATTGCACAGTGAGTTTCCGTCATCGATTGTGGGATTTCGCTATGAATCTCCTGAAAAGCTTTGTTTTGTAATGCTTTATTTTGGTGCCTAGTTCAGTGGGGTGTTTGATAGGGCTTCTATGAGAAAACTGACGGCAAAGTTGATCAGTATATTTGGGTGGAAATCTTGACTTTAATTTCACTATGGTTTTTGAAAGAACAAAGCATAGGTTGTCAAAATAGCTTTATGTTTTAGAAAAAAAATTGACGTGACGTTTCTGGACAGAGAAATTATCATTTTGAATCTGAACTAACAAAACTAATTTCTAACACATTTTATACTTTTTTTTTCTAGTTGTAACTGGGAGCCATAGATGTCTTCTGGCCAACACTGGTCATTCTTTGACAAGTCTTTCAAAGCCGGGACCCGGGCATCTTGCTGCCAGGACGTTTGCTGCAAGGTGCTTCATATTTGAATATCACTGTCCTCAGAGCAGAGGGTTCTCAGCTTATATAAAAGAGTGCATTCTGGAAATGGGTGCAAATTTTTAAAGTCATGTAAAGTGGGAACCCACTGTAAAGTTTTTATTTTTAAAATACTTTAGGCTTGGACACATGCACTGTATGTAAAATGTTAATGAAGTGTGGACAGTATTGAAACTTAGTTGTGACTAAACATCTGCATCAAAGGTTCTTGTGTGACCATTGTTTAAAAGTTTTAATTATAAATTTTTTATACCTGTTGTGTAATATCATCAGGTGTGAAGTTAGATAACAATACAAGACTCTTGTGTTTGTATCATTTTACCCTTTTATTTTCACATTCTAAAACACATTTGAAAATGATCATTTTTCTTTCAATTGCAGGACAGCAAAAAAAGAAACTGTACCAAAAAATGTGAAGCGTGGAAAAGTAGAAAAGCAGGAAACTGTGGAGAAAGTAGAGAGAAAAATAGACAACACAAATCGGCATAAACCATATGGTCTCACCGCTTGGGAACCAGTGGATGACGTGTACTTAGTGAGATACTACCCCAGGCCGGTCTATGAGGTTGGCGTGGCCATCGACAAGCTGAAACAGTTCCAGCAGCTGGATTTCACAAGCCTCCAACAGAGTGTTTTCATGGACCTGAAGCTTGACATGAAGCTGGAGAAGAAGGTAATGATGTACCAAATATTTTATTATTTTTTGGTGCTTCCAGGTTACTAATGCAGGAGGTAATGTGTAGCTCAGTGGGTTAGCATGCTGTGTTGGTGATCATAGGGTTACCGGGTTTAAAACCCAAAGTCGGTAGAGTGATGTCATTGTTGGGCCCTTGGGCAAGGCCCTTAACTCCAATTGCTTCAGGGACTAGCCAACTCGACTCTCTGAAGTGTACGTTTTGGATTAACCAAGCAGTAGGCCTGGGCGATATCATATCGATATTATATGGCGCATTTGCAATAATCACCAGGGCTTCAGATCAAAGTCGAAGCATTTGGCCGAACGCCAGCTTTTTGATACTGTACGGGCATTTATTTAGGCCCAATATTTGGTAAGCAGATTAGTAGTACAGCTAAAATATTAATGAGATGCGCTTTGTAACACACAAAACTTAGTAATCTTTATTAAATTTGGTTAGTGGAGCACTGCACATCATGCTGTTTGGGTATACTATGTGTGGTATACTATGTGTGGTATACTATGTGTGGTATACTATGTGTGGTATACTATGTATGGTATTCTTTAGTGCGATTTGCACTGAAGGGTCAGTGAAGAAAGGAACAGCTCAGCAGCCATGACATCTTTAAAAGAGGAGATCTTGCGGATAAACAAGGTAAAAAGACGTCGGTGGTGGGGTGGTACTTTTTGCAGTTCTGACGCGTTTATTAAACATAAGGACATGCTGAACTTATTTTTGGGCATCATAAAATGCCTCAACACTTTAGTCATACTATTAATTTGCTTAACAAATTGTGGGCGTAAATAAATGTCCATATAGCACCGAAAACCTGACGTTCGGCCAGATGTTTCACCTGTCATCTGAAGCCCTGGTGATTATTGCACATGCGTGGTATAATATCGATATGATATCGCCTGGCCCTACCAAGCAGGTATGGAAGATGGATGGATGAAAAGCATCTGCTAAATAAATGTAAATGCATTGCCATTTCGGACTGGAAAGGCCTTGCGAGACGTGGAAAACGGCAACGATGTTTTGTACATCACTTCATTCAGAAACTCCGCTGAACGGGTAACACACCTGCAAAAATGCAGCCTACAACTGAAAGTCTCCTTTTGGCGTTTCCCACTGCGTTTAACCAAAAATGTTTTGCATGAAGTTTTTGGTGTTGGTTGCTTTTATCCATGACATTATTAGTTTTAGTTGTAATTGTTTTAATTGCATTAGTCTTAGTTCTAGATATATTAAGCCTACAGGCCTATATCTGTAACAGAAACCCACAAAAATAATTTTACTGAATTATCTTGAGGGCTTTTCTTGGGTTATCTCAATGTGGAGCAAAGAGCAGAATGTCCTCACTGTAGCAATGCACTTTTGTTGTGTTTTTTTTCCCCCCAGAAAAAAGTGGATGCTTTTGTTAGTACAGTTCAGCTGCCATATGCAGTAAATTCAGATGATAACAAGGTTGTCGTCTTCACAGAGGTCAGTATGACGAGTTCCCCTCTTTCCCTCTTTTGCCGATTGGCTGTTTGGCTGACATGCTAAGTCTGTGTGTCCCACCTAGGATCCCAGGGAAGCCGAGGTGGCCAGAGCGAATGGAGCAGCGTTTGTAGGTGGAGTGGAGCTTGTCGAAGATGTAAGTTCACAAGGAAGCCTCAAAATGTGCTCTCAGGGAGGGCAACCCCTGATACCGGGTCGTGGAAATCCGACTTGCTGATGGAGGTACAGGCCTTAAAAATCATACACTAAATGTAGCTCATGTTATTGAATTGCTTCTAGATTTTGGAAGACAAAATATCGGGCGACTTTTATGTGGCTGTACCAGAAATCGTCAGTCGGTTGCTGCCTTTGAAGAATAAACTGCGGAAGAAGTTTCCCAAGACCAAGAGAGGTTGTTTCAGGAAGCCACATTAGTTCATAAGAAAAGCTCCTTTCTCTCTTCCATGAGTTAAGGCTTCATACTGCTTTTGTTTTAGTGGGTAATGCCACCTCGGAGCTGGTGCTGCTGTTAGACTGTTTCCTCTCACTTCCTTGACAGCCTCTCTGTCTTTCAGGAAGTGTTGGATCAGACATTCCCAAAATGCTTGAGATCTTTAAGAAGGGCCAGGAGTACATGGTGCAGGGGGAATGTTATGTCCGGATGAGAATTGCAACGGTGTGTATATGTGTGTCTCCTGTCAGAGGTTCTGCATGTCCTCCCAGTGAATTCTCAGTATCCACTATTTTTAAAGTTTGTTTGGCTGATTGCAGCGTAAGTTTCTCAGGATTGGCTGTGCTGTCCGTTTGGGCGGTGCTTCGTTAGCCTGATTGGTAGCCTGTCTGCTTATCCCAGAGCAGGCGGTTCATGAGCGGATATAGAGAGAATGGGTGTTGATGAATGCTGTTGATGAATGATACTGAAGGTCTTCTTGATGACTCGCAGCTCGACATGCCGAAGGAGCAGATCATGGCTAACATTGAAACCATCATCAAGGACGTGTGCTCCCACAAACCAGCGAGCTTCGGTACGGAAAACGCCCAGTGACTCAGTCCTCTGGTTTCCGCCCGTTAGCCCGCGTTGCTGACATCATCGCTCATGTCCCAACAATGTCGCCATCATAACACAGATCTGAGATCTGCTCCGAGCAAAGAAAGTTCTAGAACTGCTTACCAGCAGATCTTAGGAAGCCCTTGGTATGTTGTACAGGATGTGCTGTGTTTCTCTCTTTCTGGGATGGAAATAAGGGGAATGAAATGATGCCTCTGCTTGAATTTGCAGGGCCTTTCATTGAGAGGGCTTTGCTAACGAGCAGCACAAGCGAGGCGCTGCTCTTTGACAGCGGACCCTTCATCCCGAAGCCGACGGAAGACGAGGCTGCAGAAGCCAGGGCTTAATGTGTCGGCTGCAGTGTGAAGACACTGCAGTAGAATGTGTGTGACTCCCTTGTGAGGCCCTGCGTTTGTCCTGTTTGTTTTGAATGATACACGGAGGCTTGGAAAAAGGCAGTGAACAACTTAACCTTGTTGGTTGCATCATGTGACCTGATGTGGCCCCGGACGTTGGATGACAAGTTCATTTTGGTATGTAAATCAGCAGGCTTCTTGCACCCTCTAGAGGACTCCTGAGTACCATTTGCATATTTATGTAAAAATTCTGGTTTTCACATTCACTAATAAAATGTATGCTTACTTCACATCAAGTACACGCTTTGGTTTGGCGTATCTGTTGTTATTAATGGACCCACAGCACCTTGCTGGTGACCATTATTTCCTCATTTTTTTTCTTGCACTGTTCGCCATAGTGGACTTCAAATGAAATCTAATTTTAAACTTTTCCGTGTGGACTGGGGCAATGTATTATGGTATTTTATAAAGAATCGTGGGGGAGCACTGTGGAGGCATCTGTAAATGTCAGGACAGGGGTAGGGGTGACGCATTGAGCAGCACTGTGATCTCACACCCCCAGGGCTCTGGGTTCGATTTCTGCCTATGCTGCAGTTCAGGGTCACATGACTCTATGCTTATTGGCCATGTGTTGTACAGTAGCCTAAGTGTGAGTGTAGGTATTGTAGACTGGAGAAGCATTTCAAAGTTGGATGAGTGTCAAGAAAGAAAAACTAATCTGCCAGTTGGAGGTGCTATAACATATATTTGAATTGTATGAAAAAAATCCCAATATGCTTAGCGTGCAATGCTATTTAGTAAAGCTGCATCATCTCTAAACGCATTTATTTGCAGCATAATGTCTCATAATCAGTTATTGAGAGATGGAGTCAAACGATTGTGCCTTTACAGTGGAGCCTCTGTTTTCTATGGCCGCTTTCGGTTTCCAGTCTCACTTTGAATGTTCTGCTCTGCGGGTTCTCGCTGCTGGCTTATCTTACCTGCTCAGGCTGGGCCGCTTTCACCAAAAGGAAGCATACAGTGCGTGTGTGGCGGAAATAGGGCAGAAACTTTCATTTCTGATCAGCCCGGAGGGAAATATGGGGGCGACGTGTAGCCCTGTAGGATAGGGTTGTGATCGAAAGGTAATTGGTTCAAATCCTCTGGCTTGCAGAGGGATACTGTCCTTCAGCAAGAGCATTAACCCCAATTGCTACTGGGCCACTGACGCAATTCTTTGATCATCACTTGTATGTCGCTTTGAACGAAAAGCATCTGCTAAATTAATGTCATGTGGATGCAATTTTACTCTTAAATGCCTATATCTGCATAACGAGGGTAAAGTGCACTGTTTACTGAGCCTATCCTTGTGGTCTTCCAATCAATTATTGCAAACCAGTTAATTATTTCACAAGCTTGGGAATGGTTGTACATGTTTAAATATGTAAATATTAGTCCAACTTTCTTACAGTGCAGGGTTACAAGGGCCCAAGAGGATATCTCAGGCAGCATAGGAACATTCTAGACAGGATGCCACTTTTAGATTTGTTTTTATTTTTTGGGACAGTACAGGTTTGGAATACTGGACATTGTGGACAAACATGAAAAGATAAAGTGATAAGAAACCATTTAAAAAGAAGAATTTTCTGTGCTGCTTTTATCTTTCCATTTGCTTTGTTGTTCTGTTTGGAGAAACAATGACAATGAACGCAGTTATGAAAGAGTAGCTTTGAGTGAACCTTCCACAAATGTCATGTTAATGTTTAGCATTAGCAAACTGCTAACTGGAACCACAGTCTTTGTTTTAGTTGGAGTGACAAAGACTTACTCCTTCGTGTATGTCTGAATGATCCTTTTGGTGCACTGTGTGTTCGGATCCAGACAAACAGCTTCTTTATTGTTTCTGATGATCCTGTAACAGTACAGAGTATAGTCAGGGGTGTCGTGTCTGGGTTTTACTGCCAGGAGCGACGGTAAGGAAGCCCTGGCTGAGAGCCAACCCCCCCCCAAGTCCTGCTTACACAATCTCGGTCCTGTGGCACATGGCGGTCTGCGGAATGATCTGGATCTCTTTCACGGTCTTCGGGTTGATGCACGGGGAGATTTTCATGCAGCGGCATTTCAGTCTTACGATGCGTCCTTCTGACACTGAAGGTCAAAGCAACAGTGATAATGGCATGTAGATTATTTACTTTTGGGAGTCTGAGTCAGTTGTGAAAAAAGACATGGCTTGTTAGTCGGAGTTGGTTCATTTATTTATTAATATCTGAGAATGTTTCATTATATTCTTATTGATCATTTTTGTTCTCCATGTTCACTTAATCAAATACTTGCTTTTTTCATATTATGAATTTTGAATATTATAATCAACTGCTTATGCTATTCAGTATTTATGAATAATAATAATAATAATAATAATAGCAATAATCCATCCACCCACTGGCAATTTAGTAACTCCAGTTCTCCTTAGCGTATTTTTGAACTGGGGGGGGGACACTGGAGTACCTAGAAGAAACCCCATGATGACATGGGGAGAATGGAATTCCCACAAATGGTGCCATGGCAGAGACTTAAGCAACAGTCCTGGCTACTGTGATGATGATGATGATCATCATCATCATCACCATAACTTCATTATTATATTATTATTCTTATTCTTATTATTATTTTATTATTATTAATGATGCTAATATTAATACTAGGTATCCTGCAGCCAACACTGTGCGGACCCTAAATAATGTTTAAATTCATGAATTAAAAATGACAATTAAAATTCCCTGATTATGGCTATGAAACTCACAACAGCTCCAGGTTTAAAACATCCTTTAAGACCAAACAGGACCTCTTGGCTTTAAAAGATCTTAGCAGGCATATATGCAGACCTTGTTAAGGTGCAATATGGTTTGGTTGAAAGCAGCCTCACCTTGCAGCAGAGCCAGGCAGATGAGAGTCACAGTGCTGAAGAGTAAGACGGCTCTGATGGGTGCCATGGTGACGCAGTGGGCTGGTGGCTCAGATGCAGACCGCAGACGAGGAGCAAACTGCAGCCGCCTGCCATCCTCTCCACTTATATTAGCTGAGAAGTGAAAGATGATCTGGACTTTCCCTTTCCATGCAGTTAATGATGATTTCAGCACATTTTTGATTTGCATATCTGTAATTCTGGGCCTGCGCTTCACTCATCTATGCAATACTAGATTTTGCCCTCTTTACACAATTATTCATTTTCTAAAAATGAATCCCTTTTACTGTCTGTTTAAACAGACTAATCACCGTTATCTCTTAAAATACCACATTGTTCTCGTGAAACAGGTGTCCTCTTTTATCTTCAGCTCTGTTTCTCACCAAAATATAGGTATCTATAACTAGACTTTTCAATTATAGGGATTATTGCCCTTGTACTTTCATGAGAGCCTACTTAGAATAAGCGGCTGAAAGGAGGAATCATTACTTATTTACATATCTATTATCAGGACTTTTTATTGTTGTATTGCATATGTCTTGATTTGCACTGCGTTGTCCTTTGCTGCACTGCTGGTTTTCTTAAACCCCCCCCCGACAAAATAAAACATTAGCAGAAAAATTTCCGAGTACATGTGACAGTCAATGCTTGAATGGGGGTTTAGAAACTTTACAAGGAGCTAAACCTTTACTTGCACTTGATGGGACACAAATACTAAGTAACTGTACATGTTATTCATTACTTGTTCCTTGAGCAGTTCCTTAGTAGTTCCTTCAGTAGTTCACAAAGGTCTACAGAATTATATAGTAACAAATGTGGTGACTGCTTGGGATGAAAGCTGCATCATAATTCACTAATAATGAACAAATATGAGATCAGTATTTAACTTGTGTAATTCATGACTTGTATGTATGTAACTAAGACTCAAAATTAATTAGTACATAAGTAATAGTATATAGCACTATATCGTTTGTGCCCTGTCAAGTAAAGTGTTGCCAACCTGAGTATTAGTATTAGACTGGCACACGGTTCTCTAATTCAAAACCGGAAAAGCTGACCCTGATTTTAATTTAATTAACTTTCGGTTTTCAAGGCGACTGGGGGAAATGGGGAAACAAACACAGCAAAACACAGGAAAACAGAACAGACCTGCTCCTCACAGACACACACACATACATATAGAGAAAGAGAAAATACACCATTTTATATATGCAATTGTACGGGAGACCGGGGAATTTTTTTCTTAATAATGATATTCATGTTGGTGTACAACTTGCTACTATGCCCGTTAAAGTGTGATAGCTTAGCCATTTCAAAACGTCTGCTATTCGCAGCAAACATCCAGTGCATCCATGTATCTTTTGACTTGGCCACTAGCACACCTCGTATAGCTAACCAATATCTCATTGACTTCTTAAACTAATTAAATTAAATTAATTTATCAACCTGGTGGTGAAATTTAATAAATACATGAAATGGCTGAGGTGCCCTTGAAGAGAGGTTTGGGAACTGAAACGGTGCTCATCTAGTCATCCAATTACATATTAGTAATTTTTTGGAAAACCGAAACATTACTACTAGTTTTTATTGTACTCTTAATTCGCATAAGTTCTAATGTAAATTGTATTTTTTTTGTATTTGTTGAGCAAAGGTGCACTTTCTACCCAGATAAATAGCTTTAAATACTTAATTGGACTGCTCAAGTCTTTTGCAGAGTACTGTAAGTTATGCAGAAAGATTTCTGTATACTTTTGAACAACTGACATTTTTGGGTGAAGTTATTATTTTGAGATTAGCCTTCATTTGCAAAATTTGCAGAAATTGCCTGTAATATTATTTAGGAAAGGTGTTCCTTGGAACAGAGAACAACCAACACCCTAATATTCTAGGATGGCACTTTCCACCCAGATTCGGGAACAGAAAATGCAAGCCTGCAGAAAGATGCGCACGGGCTGTAACTAAATTGTTGTTGCAAATCCCGTAAATTTAAGTCACATGATGACAGTGCAAACATCTGCATTTCCGCCAGATATAAATTAAGCTGCTAAAGAATTTCCCTGCTATTTAAAGTGGTTATTTTTATCCTCATCCAGGTGTCTCCGTGTGGCTGACGGTAAATGTAAATTTCATCAATACGAATTTATACGCTGTTATGCTTCTTCGGTAAATTCGGCATTTCAAGCACGAGAAAAAAAAGAAGAAGAGATGCAACACTGGGTTTTATTTTTTCCAATTTGTCAAACGGGAAACGTAAACTGTGATATGCATTACTGGAAGTATTCAATTTTCATTCATATACAGATACTACACCAAAATGTTACTCCGATAAAAGTTAGTCATCCAGTGAAATATTACTGAAGAAAAAGCACCTTGTGTTAAAAGTACTTAAATATCAAAAGTACTACACAATCTACACACAAATTTCTTGATCTTACAAAAAGCAACCTATCCTTTTAAATTCACTCAAGATAGATTTGCATACAGCATTGTAACCCTTACCAGTGTGGAGGGGTTATTCGGACATTATTAAATAAATATGTGTGCATTAATAAATATATCATGAAATTTTATGATAAATAAATGATAATGTTATGAAATGTGAGGAATAGTGTACGTGTAAAAAAATATCTTAAGGTTGACTTCGTAGGCACAGCCTCGGCAGGTGACTGTCTCTGGTGACTCTTCCTATGAAGTCAGCAGACAGATTGTAAGAGCATGGGGGGTCATGAGGTCACTGGAAAGGGGTGTGTGGTGCTCCCAATATCTTTGCAAGAGGATGAAGGTCCAAGTCTTTAGAGTCTTTCTGTATGGCTGTGAGACATGGACACTATCCAGTGAGCTGAGATGAAGACTGGACTCCTGTACTGTCTCTCTTCAGAGAATTGTTGGGTACTGCTGGTTTGACTTTGTGTTGAATGAGTGGTTGCTAGAGGAGTCCCGAATGAGGCACATTACCTGCATTGTAAGGGAAAATCAGTTATGGCCATGTGGTGTGTTTCCCTGAGGGTGATCTGGCTCGCAGGATCCTCATTGCTGGGGACCCAAGCGGCTGGACCAGGCCGAGGGGAGGCCCACATAACTCCTGGCTGTGGCAGATGGATGGTCATTTCCGGGGGGTGGGACTGGACCGTGTGTCTGCCTGGGGGTTCGCCAGCCAGGATCCCAAGGAGTTTCGCCGTATGCTCCCCAACATGACCTGACCTGTTAATTGACCTCTCTGTGCCTGTTAATTGTACTACCCCACCTGTGCCTTGTTGCCCTGTACCCATAATGATCAGTTGATTTTGACTGTCCTCACTTATTCGTTGTTGCCCCTAGTTCTGTGTAGCCACACCTGCTCATTGTTTGTTATTGTGATCAGTGCATTTAAGTGTCTGCCTTTGTTCTATTTGTCAGTCAGTCATTGTGCTAATGTTGCTGTGTGTTGTTACTTGGCTTGTTTCTGAAATTCTGTTCCCTTTGTAGGTTTATTTGTGGTTCTGTTTATAGTGTTTACCTCTGTTTAGTTCTGACCCCTGGTCCTGTTGTTTTGTGATTTTCCCAGTGTGTTTTAGTTTAACAAACCAATTGCATGATGTATGCACCTTCATCCCCACTATTAGAATGGTATGCTATGTATGATGAAACCATCCATGATTGAGATTATTCAACTGATGGTTTGTCGACTACAGAGGTATCAAATTTTCTTACACATAGTAACACCTAGAGCGACGACTATCAAGCCATGGGTCATGACTCAAATTTGGGTCACAGCAAGTTCTGAAAGGGTCTGAAAGGTAGAGTTGGAAATGTAAGCATTTTAAAACCAGCAAGCTCCTATGCTGCATGATCCATGATTAGATTCCCCAGCCCCAATCCTAGAATTAACCTATGTAAATGGGTCTTGGGTCTGCAAATGCTAATAGCAAAACTAGTGAACACTCAACCAATTCACGAAGCCAAACCACAGATGTTTAATTTAAAATTCACTGGCACATGCAATCAGATTTGTGCGATAGGTATTGATTGGTGTAAATTGTAGCATGAACTGCGTGCTTGATCTTAGTGTTCATTTAGACATATACTTGATATAGAGTCATGACTGAGCTGGCATGGTAAATATAACTGTCGCTAAGATGGTTATTTTATAATTACTTTTTTGTTGGTTTGATTTAATTTAGAAGGTATACTGTGCTAAATGTATATTAGTGCCTTCTGCTGACTATTTAATTGATCTGTGTTAACCTTTGATCATGTGACTGAATTGGGTAGGAGTGAATGCACTCTTGGAGATTCATGGAGTCGACTTGTGGGGAAGCTCGTCACTGCAGAACCGGTAATAACTCCTAAACATTTGGTCCGAAGGTGCACACGGTAATTTCTATTTATTGTATTTACTTGTTGTCTTGTGTTGGAAAGTTTGTTTGTAATTGTGGTGATATATGAGCTGCTGTTTAGCGGTAATATTGTGGATCCTTTATGATCGTAAGATTAAATGTAATGCAGGAATTTAGTAATATGTTTATTTTATAGTTTTTCACGGTGTTGAGAAGAATAAAGACGGAATAACTTCAACATCAGTCGGGCGTATGTTTTCTACACCAAATGAAGAACTTTGGGAGCTGTTATAGTAAAGATTGGGTCACGGTGGAAATGAGATTGAGAATCACGTAGAGGCTACATTATTTCAATTACTATTTCATGTATATGAAACTGCATCTCATAGTGGGGAACCACATGTAATTCTTTTCACTGAAAGGCCAACCGTCAGGGATATTTTTCACTCCATCACAAGGGCACTTCATCATGATTCCTCACTCGGAAGGGCACCCCAGAGGACACCTCATGAGTTTTTCCCACCAGAAAGGCACCCACAGGGCACTTTATTTGGCACTGCATCACATTTTATCTATTGGAAGGAGACTGGTTTAGGCACTTCATCATGTTTTCTTTACAGCACTGCCGCCCATTTCCTCTCATGGAAAGGGTCCCCTTTGAGACACTTAATCATGTAGGGGTTGGCATTAAGGGCACTTCATATTGGCGCCCTTTTCCATTGGAAGGGTTCCCATTGGCGACCATTTAGACCATTGTAAGAGCATGGTATAGGGCACTGCAGGGCACTCATTAAGACAATTCACCACATTCTCCTGCCCTATTGGATACATCCCCTCACATGAAGGGGGCACCTTGGATGGCACTAAATCATGTGAAGGGCAGCCAATATTGGCGTTTTTGCCATTCTAAAGGGCACTTTAGCAATGGTTTTTCAGCCACTTCTGCTCCCCCCTGAATCCACCAGTGCCTTTTACAGTCCTGCTTGCCAACCGAATGCAAGTTATTGTGACAAGTGGGCGGTGACCTGTGTCCATGCACTAGTTAGCACTTTATCATGTGACCCTTTGACATGTGAAGTAAAAGTATGTCTACTGTTATTTTAAAAAGTTTAAAAAGTACAATTTCAACCAAAATAACCCCATTAAAGTCATAAAAGTAAATTTACTCCATTACTTTCTACCCCTGGTTACATGTGTTCTGGTGAAATGTTTACATATTAATCTTAAATGATGTAACTCAGCACAAGGACATGCGTGTATTGATATGAGCCAGGTGCAGGGTTGAGTAATTAGTTTATCCAGCACAAAACAAAACAAACAAAACAAAACAAGAAAACATTTTAGGCACCGGTAACCAAATGAGCACCCACACAGCTCCGGACTCTTCTCGCTCCTTGCATTCCGCAAAAAACCACCATCTCATTCTCTTTGCAGCAAAGCACGTTTAGTTTTTGTAATATGATCGGCCTTATACAGGTGCATGTTCTGCAGGGATGTCTTCCACAACCTGATCCTTAAGAGTGAATAAAATTTTACAGATGTGTCATCTCACGTGTGGTCTCTGTCGTTGCAGGCGTATTGCTTCACAATCTTCATCCTACTGTCAAACCCACCACACTGACATGAACAGTCTTTCCGCAGAGATGAGCCACAAATATCCCAGTTTAAAAAGGTCATCTTGCATTACGCTTCTTTTTCGCAGTGGTGCGGGGGTTTTCCTTTAAAACTCATCTGAAATAATCAGCCGCCTTTTTCCATTGCACGAACGCTTTGATATATCACTTTTATTCATTTTGGGCATGTGGTATACCAGGGGGATATCCAGGTTAGTTATTTATCCAGGGTTTAATAAATTTAAATTTTATTTATATTTATATTTATATTTTATTAATCTGTTTGTTTAGTTTGGTTGACTGTCACACTATATGCCAAGCTCATAGCTACTGTCTTGATGTAAAACTTGGCAAAGGAACGCTTACAGTACAAATATTTTAAAAACTGACCTTTACCAACAGTGGTGTTACTTTCAGTTTCACCCACACGT